TTAAACTCAATTATAATCGTAAATTATATTATACAGTTTACAGGTAAATCTCTAATCGATATGCAAAAGGGCAGAACACGTATTTACGTAGCTACAAGTTTAAATAAATTTTAATTCCCATCTGATACCCCGTACAGGGTGAAATGAGATTTAAATGGAGGCAAGCTGAGATAAACAGGGACAAAATGAAGTACGTACAATACAACAGACATTATCGATTACGCTTGAAAACAGGAAACGTGTTTGATTATACAGTTCAAGCAGCAGTTTGAACTGTCCAACGCGTGTCCAGGTGAATTGGGAAGATTTATAATTGCTCAATTACGAGGAAATTCCTCTTTACTTTTTGCAACTACGTAGTCACTGGAATTTCACTCATGCAACCAGCCTTTCTCTTAAATTCATTTCGCCATTTATTACTCATTTTATGTTCTCCATTGAACCAATTATTCCACTATTATTTTATCTCGGGTTGCAAAGTATGTTACTCGATTAAATAAATTTGACGTTCTTTTTTTAATTTAAAAACGTTCCAATACATTCGTCGAGATTATATTATACACGTAGGTATATTGAAATCTACGAGCGGTAAAATTCCCGACGAGTTTTGTTCTCGGAGAAAAACGGGGGTTGAAAGCTTGATTGCAGGATCAATCGAGAGGCCACTTAAAATTTCGGACAATTTTACGGGCGAGCGTCCTTCGTTAGCGTCGACTAATTTTACGACTGACTCAGCACCATAGGATTGCAGGTACGATCCTTCTTTGATCGTGGCTAATGAAGCACGTCCAGAGATCGGCCTGTCTTTTAGCATGCTCTGATAATCGTCCTTCTAAGAACGACGGCCTGCGTCGTCATCGCTCGACGATTTACGCCTTTTCTGAAACTGCTCCTATCATTCCATTAAACGAGCCATATGAACATTCTTTCTATCCTTTAACCTAACCATTTCCTTCGACGTTCTCCACGCGCACAAAGAAACAGGCGAGGTGTATCCTTGGGGAAAGAAAAAGAAATTTATTAAATAATCCGACGGTAAATACGAACGATCCTTTTCCTCGATCATTAATCAAAACAGCAGACTAATGAATATCCCCAAGAACAAGTGTATCGATCTTGGAAGAAATCTCTGATTCAATCGTCTCCTAATTCATCGTACCGAAGGTCTCCTCGAAGCATCACAAATCTTCCAATTTCAATTGCCACCAAAACGAGTATAATGATGCTGTTATCAAGGCTGCTGGTTAAACAAAACGGACTCATTAGTTTTTGCCCGGCGTGAGTGCACGTGGTCTGGAATTAAAGCGGGCATTTGCGTAACGATAACTGGAAAACGAGGCTAATAGTAATGATGGACGCGAACGTCGTCGGCGAATAAAGAAATGTCACAATGAGCAATTACCTCCTTCTTGCCGGTTTAATTGCATCCTTAACTTGTGTTTCACTCCGTTCAGACACGAAATTCGAGTCCTTCGACGAGACAGTTGCTATCTACTTATCTTCTCCCTCGTGTATATGCGTTATTTAAGTGAAGGAAAAAAGAAGTTTCTTTTATAATAACCGTGCTGTCAGTCCGTGAAAAATGGGTCGAATTGATTCGATGTAGTATTAACGAATGTTTCGAGTCTATCGTAATGCTCAAGCGCGATCGTTCGTCCGTGGAAAAAATGAAGTAACGATAACAAATTAATTACTCGGCTTTACAATGTAACTTTCAACTACTTAATCGCCAGTTTGGTTTTTGATGTATTAAAAAATCATTCGCTTTTGCAACTTCGAGCCTGTTTTTCCATCGACCAAGTTACTCATTCAGTTGCTCGGTAATGTTAAGAAAAAAACTTAATTACTCTGCTTTCCTGTGCAACTTTCAACTGCTTAATCAGCGGTCTTATTTTTGATATATTAAAAAATTATTCGCTTTTGCAACTTCGAGTCTCTTTTTCCATCGATCAAGTTTCTCAGGAATGTTAACAAATAATAAAAAAGATTAATCACTCGGCTTTTCCATGTAACTTTCCACTTTGGTATATTAAACAATTACCGCCTTGTGCAACTTCCTGTCTCTGTTTTCATCGATCAATTCACCCACTTAATTATTCAGTAACGTCTCCTTCGGTGTACGAAATGAATTAAGAATTGTTAATGTTTCTATCGTGTTCCTTTGCTCGTCGATATCACAATTGACAAACGCGACGAGGAATAATTACGAGAAGTAAATCGGTTTCACGCGCGACAAGGGGAAAGGACCCGGAACAGGAAACGTAGCGGTCACAGCAAATACAAAGATTCGATGTTTCTCGAAGGAGGAAGTGAGCCGATCGAACGGCATGTACACATCGATCGATAGTGTGTCCCGCCGCTAGAACCGGTCAGGAGAATGTAGCTTCATAATCTATGTATATACACGGGTGAGCCGTGCGCGGCATATAAATGAGCCAAAACGCTGTAACGAGGTCGTAAAATTGGGATGCACCGTGCCACCCTTGCTACTCATCTCTCCCTATTTCCATAACAAAACAAATTTCTGCGCATCAAGGATGTTCTCTTTGTCCGTAATTAAATACTCCGTGCACAATGGAGGAAATAATATTAATATTGATATTTAACGATAAAATTTCATAATCTCCATTGTACAATTTTACATTTAATCATATTAATATTAATTATCAGCGTAATAATATTAACCCCTGAGAAGCGACATTAAATAATCGTCACTTGGTGAATAATTAACGAAAACAGAGAACAGATCTATGCGCCTCCATAAATTTCTTCGCCACAGTGAAATAGAGAATGCATTGTGTTACGAACCCACTGCCTTTCCCCCACACATTGTTATTAGATACTATTATAATATTATTATCAACATTGTTATTATTAGATATTATTATTATCATAACAAA